TGGTGTCATTTAAAATAAAGTTGCAAATATTCTCCTGTACATTTTTTATTTTTTTAAAACTTCTATTTAAATGTGCTTTCATCCCTCCAGTTTTCGAGATCATCCTGGCGTATCTGGAGAAGGGCAGCTGGCAGGAGGCCTTCTTCACCGTCCTGCCGCAGAGGAAAGGAGCAGTGGCCGTCGACCAGGACGGAACAAACGCTCAGGAAAAGGAGGAGGAAGATTCAGATTCTGACTCCGAACCTGATGCCACAGAGCAAACGGAAAAAAGAGCTTAACGCTTAGCAAATGGACAACTCCCAGCACGGTTCCAATAACTGAAGCTGTGGGAAGATGAAAGATTTATTGAAGCTACTGCTGTGTTTGAAACAGCAACATTTCTGTTCTGACAGTTTCAAACTTTTAGTTTTTTTACAAAATATTTATTGAAATATTTTACTTTGCTCATTGATTGCTTTTAAGTTAATTTTGCTGCTGATAAATGGTTTTGCTGCATTTGTTTTGCAGATCATACATTTGTTATTACATTCAGGAGCATCATTTTTACTGAATTGTTTTTGTTTGGAGATGAAACCTGAAGTTGTAGACCTGTGCCAAATGGACCTGTTTAACAAAAAAAATGTGGTCAAACAATATAAAGACAATGCTTGACTATATTTGTTCTTGGAACAGTGTGGAATTTATGGGAGTGGACACAATATAGGAAATTTGAAGTTTACAGAAAAGCTGGTGGAATATCCAGTAATTTTTCAAATGTAAAAATATGTAATGCAAAGAGGAACTAGCTTATTCTTGCTCTGCTATTGGAAAAAACAAAAAAAGACTTGACTTCATGTTTTTTTTAGTGTTGCCCTCAGGGGAACCAGCAGAGTGCTTCATACCAGCCCGAGTGTGACTAGCACAGTTTGAGGCAGCACTGATAATAGAAGTCTCGGGGGAAAGTTTTCGCCAACAATGGATGCTCGAAGCAGATTCCTAGAGGATATTTTATTCTGTTGGACCACCCAAGGAGCAACCAAAGTCCCAGATTCTTGCCTACAGGCTAGATCAACACCTGCTACCCAAACAGAACGTGAATTTATTTACTTAGCCAATACAGACGTGTTCTGTAGTGAGATCAGGGATACTTCCTTCAGACATGTAAGGCGTAAAAATGGGGCTAAATTTAAGTATGATGAAGAGAAACTGTCTGAACACAATCATGAGTGACGAAAATGGTAAATAAAACAGTGCAAATTACAGTAAGATTAGATAAGATGCATTGAGATTTAAGTTGCTACAAAACCCAAGAACTAAACTCCCCAAAAAATGACCCTTTTGTCAGCTGGTCCTGAGAGTTTCTGATCATCCTCAGACCAGCATTGTTCTTCCACCACATTGTTTTTACCCAAGATATTACATGAAATAACAAAAGATGCTTATCTGGAACAGAGGACTCTACTCAAATCTCAAAACAAATGTATTTGCTGTGTGGCCCAAAACCATGAATATATATTGGTCGAATATCTTTTTACTGTCAGAGATTCTGCAGAAAGCAATGACCGATCTTGATCAAATTCAGACTCTGACTACAGTCGAACCACAGAGAAAGGATGACACAAGAAGTTGTGGGTACCTACAGAAAAAAATCTGTGGTCGTGCATCACAGGTGAGATAAAGACAGCAATGCACTTCATCCTAAAATGTCACAAGTATAAGACAGGATTACTTTTAAGGAATCCAACTTGTTGATCCCAAACTTCACAGAACTAGACAGTAAAAATGAACAGATTTGCTAATGAGAGAGACACGTAGCTTAGCCAGCTGTTCATTATGTGTCACAAAGTGAGGGACACATCATTAAGACATCACAGACTTATTTTCACATAGCCTATTACACATATGAAAAAATGCAAATTGACTGCCTTTTCCTGCTTTTATACCATTCTATTGTTCTACAGCTTTTTTTTTTTCCTTTTTATTTTGTCACCTCGTTTCGAATTACATCCATGTGATTGAATTTTTTGATTGAATTTCCCTTCTGGGATAAATAAAGTATTTTTCATTCATTCATTCATTTCATGTGGTGGCAGCAGTAATATTTAATTAAATTGTTTTTTTTATTATTTTTTTTTAACGTCTTTCTGGAGCTATGTTTGTTTGTTAACACATGCGGTTTTCTTTTTTTAAATTGATAAAATAATTTTATTTATTTATTGTCTCAGTATGTGTGAATGCTGAATGAAATTGTAGAATTCCGGGAAAGTATAATTTTCTCGCGCATCTAAACCCGGAAGTTGTGGTGTCCATGGTAACAAGGTAAACTGACGTGAGGAGTACCCTGCATTCTGTAGAAGCTGTAGATTGTTAGTTCGTTTTTTAACCTTTGACAGAAGATTCCAATGTCTCGAAAAGCGCTGAAAGTGGTGGTCGAATTAAAATTCAGAGCGGTAAGATTTGCTTGTCCCGTAGCCGCCGTCCTGTCGTAACTTTGGATTTACGTGGCGACAACGCCAAATTCCAGTCTATTCACTGTCATTTTCACACTTTCTTACTCTCAGGCTAACACACTCGTATGCTAGCATTGGGCTTGTAATGCATGACGAAATGTTAAGGGTTACTCTAAAATTCGGCATATATTTAGTTCAAAAATTATTTGTCAAATTAGCTAAATTTCAACTTTTAGACTCACTTTACCTCTATGACTCTTCATATGGGTTAACTTGTCTGTTAACGTGAAAGATGTGTTTCTCACAACAGCAATATGGTGACTTTGAATTTGAGTTATTTACATTTTGTGCATCTTTACTCCACTGCTACTGCACATAACCTCCAGCAGGACAAAAATGATGCTGCTAAAGAATCTGTAATTTAACCCAGTAAGCTCTTCATAAGTGCTTTTATTATTTTACATTTGTGTATTGGTGAGTACAAATTCCATCACTTCCATCACATATGGCTGTTTCTCCACAGTTTTAAACTTCTATTTCTTCTTCACTATTGTATAGATATTTATATATGATATAAGTTTTTAAAAAATCAAGTAAAAATATTTTTACTTTGCTCATTTAATGGCTCATCAGTTCATTTGACTCCTGATGTACATGTAGCTGTAGGAGAAAATGGCACCGTGTAGGTTTGACTTACAATGCTTAACAAATTGGACAGGTGGTCTAATAAATTTGTTAAACACTGTATGTTCCTCCGTTTCTACCAGGTTTCTTGTCCTGGAGTTCATCTGCCAGCCAAAGATGATATCTACCTCAGCATGTGCTTCATGGGCCAGTACCGTCAGTCGGAATGTCTCCCTGCCGTCTTCCCTCTGCTGTTTCATGAGAAGATGACCTTTGAAAAGGCAGGTCTTTTCTTGTCATCCATGTGGGTGAAAGACAGCTGGAGGAACAAATGCTATCACTCATCAACATTACTGCACGGTGAAAGAAGGGCGTAGACAGAGCAGAGAGGGCTGTACATGCATTAAAACACATATGGTTGGTCAGTTTTTACTCCTTATCAATTTTAAGAGACTTGATTAGAGATTAGTTGGCTTCTTTTTCCATAGAATCCAGCTATGATGAATGACAGCAGATACAAATTTAATCTGACCACCTACCAACAAGACTGTGTTCTATAGATACAGTGGACTCAGAGAAGTCTATATTTAACAATACACTTGAAATTTGCCTTCTTCTTTTTTTGTTGCCCCCAGATTTTCCGGCATGCAGTTGACCCTGGAGACATTGCTGTGATGCTTGAGTGTAAGTGACACAGTTATTTATATTCTATCCGATCTATCCTATTCAGTGTTTTGTTGTCCTCTTAATGAGATAAAACATTTGACAAAATATTCGTAGCTCTCTGCGTTTTCAGCCAAATCTCACAGACTTCTTCGTGGATGGAGATGGCTCAATCATTATCATTATCAATTATTATTACATGGCCGTAGTAGAGCCTACATGGAGCTTAAATCATGTAGTGACAACAAACGTGCCTTGAGTTAAGATTATTTTAGTAAACTGATGGAAATCACTGCTGTGCTGCATTTTTCTTCCTATGCTCGTATTTCCCAGCATTGAAAAACAGCTTTAACCCACTGGTATCAGCACTACTTCACTGTCTGTAATGTTTATGGCACAATATCTACCTATAATGTTAATATAATGTCAATCCCTTAACATTCACCTCCTTTTTTTACTTAAAAAGACTAAATGCTCGGAAACATTTTGTTTATTAGACATACAGCGGTGGAGCTTTCCTTCTGCCTATGCCAGTTGTTGACATTGTATAAATATCTCCAATACACATTCTGTGAATCTACCAACTTGTCTCTTCTCTTTAGATGAGACAGTCAGAGTTGAATTGGTGCAACTGATTCCTCCAGGTGAGATTTTAATTCTGATTATATTCAAAAATATAAATATACACTGTCACTGCTATTTATTTACACAATTATGTGATTAATTTGTGTCACTCTCATGTAGTTTATGGGTGTTTTTTTTGCTTCTGTCACTGTAATATGAAGTGCTGCACCTCTATGAAGACAGTACAACGGTGGCTTTAAGTAGATAGAACTCAAAAATATCTTATGCGCTGTACAACAAAGTTCTAATGCCATAAATCATACATTTTACTAAGCTCTCTTCAAAAATAATATTTCTGTTATTTGGACAAACATCATTATTCATTTCACCGTTTCACTAAACATTCTTTTCCTTTTGTTAACGATTCCACACCAACCATTAAATGTTATGTCTGAAATAAAATATCAAGAAGATTCAGATCATTTATACAAATGATGGTTACGTGTTCTGTTAAAGTCAAACCACATTATGTAATTATGTAACAAGATGTGTTTGTTTCTGCAGTGGGCGACACTCTGGCCTGCTTTGAAGAAGATGCTCGAACCTTCTTATTCCCAGAGCCCAAGCTGGTTCCCTCATTTTCCGGAGTGGACCGAGAGGTTCTGATGACCCGAGCACCTTACTTCCCAGTAGGTCAAACCGTTTGGCGCTTTACCTCATTTTATTTTTAGCGATCAGCCTGAGAGCTATGATCACAAATGTCTTGCTTGTTCATTAAAAAAAAAGAAAGAAAGAAATCACATTTTATTTTATCAAATTTCTATCTTCAAAGTGTCCTATTTAATTTTAGATTTGTCTTTTCTCCAGGGTATCGCTCCAAGGTTGGAGTTTTCCACCAAAACAACCATCATTGAGTGCTCACCTGATGCAGAGATCAACATTTACCCCAACGTATCCCTGGTAAGATTATACAATGTGACTCAAAATGTATGGACATGTATAAAACATGCTCTCAAATAGATTTGTGGTAGCAGCAAACCCACAAATAATGCAAGTCCTCTTGCATCACCATTAATTGGTTTCTTGGGTTCAACATGCCACCTGTTTAGGTAGTGACATTAGCAAAATTTATTTAGACATTCTGAATTTTTAAGATACCTTAATGAAAAAGTACATGAAAATTTCTCACAATGCACATCAGAGATAATGTTAACCAGAGCAGAATAAGGCCCTCTCAATGTAAAGATGTATGTATCATAGCATATATTTTCTCTTTTTGTTCCTGCAGCACATTTGCCTCATCTCTTAGAGCACAATCTAAAAAAAGAGGTGCTATAACATGTAAGAGATTTATCTTGTATTCTAGGACCTGTCAT